GGAGAGGGGGGAAGAAGGCCGACGGTCGTCGCGACTGAGAGAGAGGAGAGCAACAGGGATGAGAGAAGATTGGGACGGGATGATGATGAAATTAGGTTTGATTTTGAGATTAAATTATTAATTGTGATGAAATTTAATAATTAATTAATTAATATTTAATTAGATATAAAAAAACCTGATTTTTGAAATGTTAAACTTGTGACCTTAATTTTGAAATGAGAAATCTAATTCCAGGTGCATGTGTAATTTCCTCCTCATAAAATTGTTGAGCCCATTAGTACGAGACGATCGCTTTAATGGATCAAGTACCACAAAAGTGCCCAATAGCCCTGCTTTCTCGGCCAATTATTATAAGCAGATTGGGCTTACTGGGCCAAAAATGGATTTAACGTAGCAAGAAGCGCATTTTCCTGCTGGAAAGTACTATCATATAGCTGAACCGGGTCCGCTTCAAATTTCAGAATACTGGCTACAATATGGAGACAGCACTGCAGACACCGATGGACTAGACCAGCAATCTTCGCTCGCCGTAAAAAAAAATTGGGTAAATTTTTCTTTTGCTTTGTTGAAATCTAAAACAAAACAGTTTAAAAATTATACGTAGATACTCGCTTCTTCTTTTTTTTTCAATTTAGGTTCAATTATGGAAAAAAAAAGGATTAAATTTATCTGATTTTTAAGTGGAAATTTTTCATTTGAGATTTATTTTTCTTGTCGTTCCCTTTTTATTTTTTGAATTTATTTATTTTTAATTCGAGGCTTCCTTTGCATTATGATGGATGATCGAAATGGAAGCATATATAACCGAGAGTTCTTCTCTGTATATGAACAATCATAACCAAAAAAATTGATTGCTATTGCTACATTTAAAGTTTTCCTTTGAAGATTTACTGTGCTTAAGTACTAGGTATCAGCACCTTGGATTAATGGATTTTGTATGCTTGTAATTATGTGTATATATAAGTATATTAGACCTCAATTAAGATGATGACACCAAAAAATTTCTTGATTGACCCCAAATTTATTGCGAATGGGACTTAGTGTGTTTTGCTATTTGTTTGACAGATCCACCAAGTGCTGCACTAATGAGCCAAAACTTGTTGTGTGAGTGCTTTACACTCTTAATATGACAGAAAAGACAGCAGAATAATATTAATTTGGTCACTTGAGAGCTTATGTGAAGTGGGAGACACTTGGTAGGTCCACCCCTGCTGTCCTTAAACCCTACAATAAATCTCGAGTCAAAGAGCTTTTGCAAGCTAGAAAACCTTATTGGCTTGATCATTAGGGTAAATTAGTATGTCTTATAGGTGTCAATCTAGTCTGAGTACCATCAAAGATACTAAAATCTCTAGCATATCCATTCAATTTTGTTTAATGAATATCAACATCCTGTTTTCAGATTTGATACTGACTGTAAATTTCATCGTACTTCTTGATCCTTCCATTGATAATTCACTTAATTAGTGCCACCAAGATCCTCCTGTCATATTTTATATCTACTGGCTAGAACCTTTCTTCGTATATATGACATAATAAGCTATGGTTGATTGACTTGATTCAATGAGCTGTGAATCTGCTTGTTCAGTTAATTCAATAGCTTTTTTCATTGCTTTTCCAAATGAAACTCTGTTCTTTAAATTGTCCGGCTATTCTGCAGTCATCTTATTTACTTGAAAAAAAATATATGGGGTGTCGAAAGTCCTTGGTTTTCACTTTTTAATAGCTCAAAGAACCATTGAGTAAAAGATAGCAACTTATATATCTTAATAGAGCTAACAATGCAAGCATTTCTTTCATGATCTCATATGACACCAATCACGCTGTCGTCTAAATTTCTTTCGCACAAAGCCATTGGTCAGCAGTCACAGATAGCAAATACTGTTGAATTGCTGTTTCTAGTTTAGTTATTAATAGCTTAGTTTTCCTGCAATTATGTCATTGAAAAGTCTCTTTATATATTATTGAAATTGTCTGGCTATCTTGAGAGATGGAGCGGCTTTTCTTGTAATCAGGATTCTTATGTCTCATTTATAATCTGACAGAGTTTTATAATATTGTGTTGAACCACTTGATTACAATACAGAGTTCCTTTTTTCCCATCAAAACCTTACGCGAACACGATTTTATTGAATGGGTGCCTACGAGACTCGAACTCAAAACTTTTGCGTGCTCTAATTTCATATCGAACCTCTTGATATAAAAACTTAAGTGGTTAGAGAGGGCTACATGTATATCATTTCAATCTTTTCTTCAACATATCATTTAATCACTAGCTGAGAACTTCAAAATTGTAACATGCATTTTCTATCTAGTGCTTGATGGCTAATGGAATATCCTGGCATTGGAAGCCTCCCACAATTAATCAATTCATATAGTTTTATGGTGTTTAATTTATAACTTTCGGTTTTTTTATCATGAAAGAATTTGTATGATAAATCATCTGGAAATAACTTACAGAGATATATCTGATAGATGTTATACAATCTGAGACCTTTCTTCCTCACCTCTTTGTTCTATAAAATTTTTTTTTTTTTGAACAGCTACACTATGAGCTAGTGCATTTTTTCTGATGCCTTTGAGTTGCCTTGCCTGCACGAATGACATAGAGAAGCATGAGCATAATATTCCCATCACCTTTATTCATCTATGTTCATATTTATGGTAGGCAATTTTGCTATAATTTGGCTATATAGAATAGACCGGCTAAGCTTGAGCCATATATTTTTTTTCTAAATGAAAAAGTCCTGCTATGCATTCCAAAATTAATATAAAGTGATGATATATTATTTTTTAAATAATTACATTGTTTGTAACATGGTTGTGTGAAGGCTGGATCACTGGCTGCTGGTGGAGGTTGCTGGCCAAATATCATCTCACAGCTCATATCTTCAAAATCTGCCAAAAAAAAAAATGAAAATCGTTTCTGTTCATATAAAAGTCAAATATTTACTGGATGCATTAAGTTTGCAGAACTATTGACTGTAACTCACCCATTCAAGTATCACTTTATGTTTAACTAATGGGAACTTAATATTACTTTTTTTATTTTTTGCAGGTGCTAGCAAATTTTTAACAATTTTTTTTGACACCACATGCATGTAATAGGCCATGGAAGGATGATTAGCTGAGACATGACAATTTTTTTAACTAAAAAGCAGTGCCTTTGCTGGTTTGTCTCAAGATTTTTCCCCATTTTCCTTTTTGGGTACAAGCTTTATAATATATAAAGAATTAAGTTATATATAGCCGTAATGCATTATATAGAGGAAGTTTCAAAGAAGCTATGATGAGCTATTTGATGCATTAAGTAGGCTTATGGATGGGCCCCCCCATTTAATAGATTTGCAAGTTCTGTAAGTTTTAGTGCCCACACTGTTACTTTTTGGGTATGAATCCCTTTTCCCTATATCCTTCGATGCCTTTAAATCAGAAAAACTATTTTTCTATGAAAAATTTAAGGCTTGGATGACATGGTTTCTAATTTGTACTATACGTGACTGTGAAATACTCTATTGAACTTGGTCTAGGTTTTTAGAAGTTGATGGCAAGGCCTTCGCTTCCCGAGCTTTAATCTCTTAGTCAGTCTTGGACCTCTTTTGGTGGGTTACAAGGCGGACCCAAGAAGGAAGTTCAGTGGGTGCGAAACCAAAAAACCTTGGAAAAAAATCTGAAAATCTAAAGAAAAATCGGGAAATCTGAAAATTGAGTGGGGGCGGGTGCCCCCACTGGGCCTCATGTAGGTCCGCCCCTGGACTTACAAGCAAGTCACAAGATACTTACTGGGCACCATGGTCGTGGGCATACCCAGGGACTCCTGAATGAATGCTTGAGATGGCATCTTGCATAGGTTAGTGCACATTCCTACACAATTGGTCTCCTCCAAAAACCTGTAGAAAATTATTGGGAACAAAATGAGCGGATCACATTTAAGATGTTATTAAGACTAGAAAAGAGAGACAACAATAATTAATTTAGATTTTTTTATGATGACAGTAGAGAGAGAGAACCAAAATATATTATTTTTTGCAGCTTAAAGTTGTTTCAATTAGGTATGTAGGTTCTCATTGGGAAATTATGGTTTTTTTTAATTTTGAAAGAAAAGTGCAAAAGGTACCTGCATTTCTTTATATGAACGACATTTTTCTCTTTTCTTCCGTCGAACTCTGACTCTTTCACCTTGAGTCAAGAGAAAGAGAATATATATTACTTCCACTGCTTGACCATTGCACACAATCATACGCACTCACAAAGCTGTGATACGTGCGTGTCATCATTTGAAGTTTCTTTAAGCACATGTTTGGTACATAGTATTAACGGCATCGTTCTGTTTCTAATATTGTCTGTTCCAAACGCGATCTAAATGCTTAGGATATAATTTGTACGTTGGACTGAAGAGGATTGATATTCTTTTCCTTAAACATGTCTCCTCATGTCCAATCCAACATGCCAATAATGTTACTGTTTTGATTGCATTCTTTTGTTTAAAATGTGATTTTTGAACATACCTCACAGGGACCAACAAGCCAAGCAAAGAAAATCGTTGTGAAGACAGCGAAGAACTCCCTTGTATATCTAGATTGTGGCATCAGGGTCCTAATCTGTGGTTAAATATGAAAACATACACCAATTAAGGCCTCTGTATGATTGCATTTTGTAAATATTTAATTGAATTATCAAACAAAAAAAAAAATTCTCTTTCATATTTTCTGAATATTTGTTTTAAGGACTTGCTACAGTCAATTGCGAGTGAACAATTAGATATAAAAATGATGACTTATTTGGTACGACAGATTGTTTCCATGCTCAATTGCCTAAGGCTTATAAGATGTTTATTCAAAGCTAGAAAATTACCAATTTATCAGTTGAGATTAACTGCCAAAATGAGTCTTTCTATCAGAAAAGAATAAGAAAATGTCATTTTTCATTATGTTGCGTTCTTATTCTCTTGTGCATCATCATGATGTCACCTATAATAATAATAATAATAAAGGACATGTCATCTACATGACATATTAAGGACTTAATGTTGTATTAATATGGTTTGATATATGAATAATGATATTCGCAGTCTTCCACTACGATAGTCGTCCTATGTGTCATACACATAACAGATATTTATTTGATACATGAGTCAATAAAAAATTACCAAATTAATGTATCAAATAATCACTTAACATATGTATGCCACGTAGAGTGACTGCAGGAACTACGAATAACATTGCTCTTGATATGTATACACTCACATGTATCTTGACGATAAAACCAATGTAATAGCATAAAATGACAAAGAATCGTCTCAGACGAAAATTATGTTGTGAGTATAACAATTTTGTTCAATTCATGTCCTCTTACCTATTTTTTTATTTTAAATTTAAATTTCTTCAGCCAACTAGTTTTTTTAGAAAATTAATGTTGAATTTAATTATGATGAAGATGATCAAAATATATATTTTGGAGGATAAAATGAACTTGCCGTCTTAAGTATAGGCCTAGGAAAGGCCGTATCAAGTGTTTGATTGACAATTCTCTGCTGCTCGGTTGGAGTAAACAACTTTGTCGCCATTGTTGCAGCTTCCACAAAGCCATCATATCCCCCCTTGCTGCTTCTGAATCCTGTGTGTGTGTGTGTATGAGAGAGATAGATACAGTCTTACAGATATGTGTGTGTAGGGAGAGAGAGAGAGAGAACCTGTTGAAGCTTGAAAGCTTTTGGAGATATGATTAATGGCAAGACGATCAAACCAGTTATCTTTGTAAAGATTCTTGGACTCGTCAGATGTTATCTCTGTACTGGTTGTTGGCTTTGTAAGAACATAGGAAATAGAGGGATAATGTCTAGGTTTCTGCATGTTCCTCCGGTCGACCTGCGCCGATAAAGGGCTTATGCACTGGTGAACAAGCATCGCAACCATTTTGGCACCTCCTCGGAGTAAAGAGAAAGCTATATATGTATTTGTCTATAGAGAGAGAGAATTTTGAAAAGAAGATGGAATAGTTAAAGAAAAAAATTGGGTTAGAAGAAGAGAACAAAAAATTGTGTAAGAGCATATTAAGAAGACTGCCATATTGATTCTCAAACGAGTTGGAATTTTCAGCACTTTTTTTTATTTTTCCCTTTTACTAATAATGTTTTGTTAATCATTCGACGAAATCAAAGCAACTTGCTTACATATGCGGGTTCGAACCAAAGATGTTGTTTTGTTTGATAGCACTTTTGGCACGACAAAAGTAGTTACAGCTCTCTAAATAAGTAGATACAAAGTAAATTTTAAATAAATATTTTTTGGCTTTTGTGTCGTGAATGGTTCTATTACTTTCCGAGCTCACAAGGGATAAATTAATTGAACCGTGCTATAGGTACAGAAAGATTTGCCAGACAATTGCCAGATTTTTGAAATCAAAGGCCAGGATTTATACAAAAAGGCGGGAAAAAAAAAATCAAAGGCTAGGAACATTTTCTGGTAAATTTCTGGTAAAATTCCCTGTACTCAGGGAATTTTCCAAATTAATTACTATTTCTGCCCAGACACGGGAAAAAGGAAAGTGCAAGAACTGATCATATGGTTTGGCACAATGGGGAGATTGATACATCATTGAATCTTAATGCCCCCCGCAAGATTCGTAGATGCTAATTTGAGTTGGAAGGTTGTAACAATGTTGATGACGTAGTGGTTGTTTTTCATTTGAACTGACGGATGGATATGTGAGTTGAATATCGAATTGGTAAATAGATACGTGATACCATCAATGTTAAAACAAGTTGGTGGAGCAGTGAAGATTTGTACACAATTTACACCGATACTAGTGAAGATAACGTCATTGAAATTCCATCAATCGATTTAAAGTCAAAGATGATAATTAGCACTTGTTTGTCTATCGTTAATGTAGGAAAATGAGTTTTGAAACTATAAATTTTGGAGAATGTGTGGTTAAAAAGTATGACAAAGTTTTGAATTTACGTGCAAAATATTTTATTATAAAATGTATGGTTGAAAATAAGTTTGAGGACAAAAAAATTGAAATAATGATAGACAAAGAGGGCTTAGTGTTTGTTAGGGAGATATTATTTCAAGGGAAAATGATATTTTTGGAGAATATAGGGTTAAAAAACAAAGAAAAATTATTGGTCCACGTGTAAAATTATATTGTTGGAAAAATGTATGGTAGAAAATGGGTTTGAACAAAATTTATTTTCATAAAAGTTGTGCCAATCTAACTCTCGGTGAAATCAAAATCAAATTAAGACGTGCAGAAGGAAGAATATGTACTCTATGAATGAAGGACTAAGGTAGTGTGAAATTGTAATGATGGAAAGATGAATGAATTCTGTAGGAATATGGGATTGTATCTATAATAAATCAAAAGTTGTGCTTGAAAAGATTGAGCACTAGTTTGGTAGATATTAAAATTTAAATTTTTAGTAGATTTTGATTAAAAAAAATGATGAAATGTATGGTTGAAAAGTTGTAGGTTTCATAAAATGTATTATTAAAATTAATTATTGACATTAAATTGAGATTTTAATTGGAAATCCAAACCAAACAGGGGCCGAGTTTAAATGTTTGTTTAAGCAACGTGATCAAAACTAGCTCTTTTAATTTAATTTGTTCACAATGTTTGGTTTTTTCTAGCGTGCTTGTTCTATAAATATGTTCTTATACGATTATCTTCAAAAAATAAAATATGTCCTTTTCTATACAAGTACACGACAGTTTTTTTCCATAATATTATACGTAACAAAACAATAGTATCTTGACAACTTATTGAGCTAAGGGCCGGCGTGTTGGAGATATAAGCTATATATCTTGTTTTTCCTTTTTTGCAATATATAAAAAATTAAAGATCTCATTATCAAGATGACAAGAACTATATAGAAGTTTAAGGTTTCTCCGCTCGTTTGGTATACTTCTCTTTCAGCTTGCAATTATTAACATTTTATTCCTTTCGCTAAAAGGAATAGTTAAAACTCTTAAATTTACATAATCCAGAAGTCTGGCCATTGAACAATGGTTAACACATAGCCATCAAGTATAGGTCTTTTTGGGAAGGTAACCCCGAGACAACCGACCAGAATAGGGCCATACGTGCCAGGTCTTGTAGTATCCTTCGAGATCCAAATTAGAATAGGCAGTAGAAACTACGAACTATATTGAATCAGCTCGCTTTACACCTCTACAAATTTTCATAGAAGGAAATTCATAATAATTCAAATGGTACAAAATAGTCACACTAAAACTAGTATTAACGTTAAAACGAAAATAACTACACCAAAACATAGTTAATGGTTCAATTAGGTAAGCTAAATTATAAATTCAACCTGCAGGTCCTATCAGTCTTGCCTAAGAACAAGAGAAACATAACACAATCACGAAATAAACACATGCATCAGTTCAACAGCAGTAAACCAAATATGTTTGCATCATTCCTTGGTGGTTTTATTGATGAGGGACTTGTGGATGTGAGGAATCACACCACCACCAGCTATGGTTCCTTTGATGAGGGTGTCTAGCTCCTCATCCCCTCGAATGGCCAACTGCAAATGCCGAGGCGTAATTCTCTTAACTTTCAAGTCTTTGCTTGCATTTCCAGCTAACTCAAGCACTTCTGCTGTCAGATATTCAAGAATTGCAGCAGAATAAACAGCTGCTGTGGCTCCAACCCTTCCATGGGCATTAGTTCTTGACTTTAGGTGACGATGAATACGACCGACTGGAAACTAGACTCCAATGAACAAAAACAGATGCATTGGCAAAAAATTAGATTGAACACGCAAAGGAGAGATTTATTGCTGATGCAACTTAGCCACTAGACACTGAAGAAAAAACACGGCCAAAATGATAAAAGATGACAGATGGTACAAGTATGTCATTTCCTTATCATATGACATGAATATGAGAAAAAAACAATCAAATCAACCTAATAAATAAGCCAAACCTTAACCCTCCCAAAATATGAAGACTTCCACAGATATTACCATGCAAAAAATCTAAATATAGCAACCACGTGTAGGATCAGCAATGTTACTACGGCTAAGGATTTGACATCCACAGTCAACCACGTGTGAGCAGAAACCCAAGATCCAGAACAGAAATGACCACATTGCCAGTTTCCGTTAGCATGATATAACTAGATTAAAAGTTCAGAGAGGGCTTGCCATCATGGATATGAGTTGTATTAATGCTCTTTAGGGCATGTTTTGTCGCAGCACTTGACTAGATAGGACGCTAAGACGGATAAAATTTTAACTTATTTTTACTCCATAATAGTGTCTAGCACAAGTCGATGAACCATACCAAACATGCAATTAGAGTGCAGCATATAACCACGAGTAACCAAGGACTCGCTAATTCAATTAGGGCGTACATATTCATCACACAAAAACCACAATTTGCCTTTGATTGTAACAGGCCCTACTCACTATATTTCAGCTAACACAGTTATTCTCGCTTCACAAGAATCCCTATCTCTGGCTCACAAATTTACATTTTAGCTTTTAATCAAGAAATGAAAATTAATCTAGATAACAAAAACATATATTTTCTCAAGGTCTCATTTCAAGAACAAGAACAGCGGACATGGAAGTACAAATCAACATTACTGAACTATCAACTTAAATTTAATCCAATAGATCTAACGGACGGCATATATTAAATCATTTTTACCTGAAGACCAGCACGAGCTGACCGAGAAATCGGCGCCTTTTTCTTGTCTTTGTCCTTGTTTGCAGCAGCTGCCGTCGTCTTCCCCGCTACAAGCCCCTTGCCACCTTTTCCAGCCATTTCCCTTACCTTCACTTCCGCCATCAACAAATAAATAACACGTTAACGATCCCATTCCTAGCCGAGAATTACTCAGCGCCAATACGACATATATATACATGTAAATATCCATTCTTTTTCCTGATTAGCAGATATTTACGTTAAATTCCGAATAGATCTAACAAATTTCAAACAAATTATCAGAATAAGATAACCGCATTACAACTTTAACCTCTAATAAAAATAAGCCTATTAACTAAAATTAAAAATTAGATATACCTGAGAAATCCAAAAGCAATGGAGGAGACGAATACAAAGGAAATGTGTCTGTTAGGTTGAGTAATTTATTTCTTTTCGGAATTTTTCGAATCAATGGAGTGATTTTGGCGGTTGCTTTTTGGGTGGGAAATGAATTTAGGGATTTCGAAAATTTCAACAGTATTTTGACATAATTGCCCTTGCCTTAGCGTAAAAAGGTTTAACTTCTGAATTAGTGGACCGCCTTTATGATTCTCTATATTGGGCTTCTCTGTTTCCAGCCCATTTATTTTTAAAAAAGTTCCAACTTCTGAATTAGTTGGCCAATTTTAGGATTTTTCTAAATTGGGCTTCTCTGTATCTAGCCCATGTCTTTTTATCCCGAGAAAAATTCATAAGTAAGAGGTTATGTATCCCCTATTTCAAAATTAAGAAAACAAGCTTGGAATTTCAAAAATCAGATTTTTATTAAAATTTATTATGATTTAATTAATTAAATATAATGATGTCATAATTATATAATTAATGGTCACATATACATATTTAATTGCTCACGGATTATTTTTGAGGTCACAAATCAAAAATTTTATAGGTTACAAATCAAACATATTATACGTCACGAATTATTTCGAGACCACAGTTCAAACATTTAGTCACGGATTAAAAATTTTGGAGGTCACGAATTATTTCGAGATCACAAATCAATAATTTTATAGGTCACAAATTATTTTATTGGTCACGGATCAAAAAATTACAGGTCACAAATTAATTTTTAGTCAAAAAATTGTCAAATTTTGAGGTCACAGTTAGTCAATTATCAAATGTCGGAATTTCACCGTCCGGCAACCACCACTGGCCAACTCCTCTCACCAAGACGAACACAACTGTGTAGCCAATTTACTCAAACAAGGAAGCACAAGATCTGAATTGCAATCTGAAATCTACCCAGTCGTGAAGGTCACGACATCGCAGTGCACTTCCTCAATTTTTGGCGCCGTCCGGACGACCCAGGGTGGCGGACCACCGGGTCCTCTTTCCCTCCCCAAGGCGCTCCTTGCCCAGGCCTGGGCAACCCCAATTTAACCATCAACAATCTGAATTTGATCCTGAAACCCACGCAGGTGCGAACTCGCGAAAAAAGGGATTTTCAAATTGTTTTTACCGGCGACTTTCCAGCGAAAGGTGGATGCTCCAATCTCTCACCTCTCACCACCGCAAGCACAACACCCAACCACAACTCCCACCACCGCACCCACTGTACACGGCAATCACCACTCCCACCACTATCATCACCACCACCCCAAACCAGTTTTGAAACTACACCAGACCACCGCCACAATAGATCGAATAAAAAAATCCCAAAAAAGGCAGCGTTGCAGATTTGGCAGCAGAGCTCCGCCTCTAGCCGCCTCGCTGATCCGTTTGCAGCAGGCTTGGGCAAGTCTGGGAGTGGACGCCACCGGCTGTTGGGAGCCGTGTTACCGGCGACAAGGTGTAGGGAAAGAGAGAGAGTGAAGGGCTACGGGTTGGTGTAGGGAGAGAAAGTAGATATGAAGAGAGAGAGAGGAAAGATTTAATTAATTAATTACGATTTGTTATTTTATTAAAATATTAATTAAAATAAAACATCTGATTTTTGAACAATGAAACCTTCCGATTGATTTTTGAATATAGATCTTAAAAAGTAGGCTTGTGTGTAATTTCCACTTTTATCTCCTTTTGATTTTAATTGGGAACAATACATTTTTAAAGTATTTACTTTACAACATTTCAAAAATACAAAAACAAGTTCCAAATTTCACAAATCAGGTTTTTAAATTTTTTATTTATGAAATAATGAATTATTTAATCAATTTATTATTAAATATTTAATTGTAATATAATATAATTACCTCACCCCACCTCCACGGCTCCACCACCCCTACCGCTCCATGGATTATTCCAGCTACCGATCCGGTCACAACTCCTATCCGGCGACCATTCCGACGACTCTCCAATTCTGACGATTATTACGATGACCGTTCCGCCGCCACTTTGTTCCTGCTATTGCTCCGATTCCGACAAGTGTTCAAACTTCGGCGAAAATTTTTAGGTCACAATTTTTTTATCGGTCACAACTTAAAAAATTTAAAGTCACAATTTGTTTATCGGTCACAAATCACAAAATTTATAAGTCACAATACTTATTTACGGTCACAAATATCACATTAATTGAACATAAATTATATCAAATTATCAAATTATTGGTCACAAATTAATAATTTTTAGGTCACACATCATGTATTGGTTACATTTTATCTAATTCATTAGTGACATATCATTTATTGGTCGCCAACCAATCAAATTAGTAGTCACAAACAACCAATTTATTTGTGACCACCACTTCACCACTGCCTTCGCCAACGGCACCACCGTCGCCGCAGCCCAATAGCAACGTCAACACCTCATAACCAACACCACACCATCCCCAACACAGAACACACAAATCACACACATAACACACAACTACTGCCGCCACCAACTTCAGAACCACAATTCGTAGCGCCCGATCTACTGCCAATACCACGACACTGCACTGTTTACGACCACCACCTTCGAAACCACCACCTCCAACACAAACAGCACGCAACCATCGCACCACCACCACACCCACGCGCACACACCCAACCGCACCCAAACAGATCTGCACCTCCACGACACCCAACCGCTCAAACAAAACAAAACAAGACAAAACAAAAATAGATCTAAAAACAAAAATAGATCTACACCTCCACCAGGTAGCTAGTGAAACAGAAGCATGATTATGTGTGAAATAAATGATTATTCTTGTCTTGAAGAATTCGAAGCCACGAGACAATGCTAGAATGCTTCACTTTTATCCTCATAATTGTTTTCTATTGATAACGATCTTGCCCAAAAATAAATGAAAGCATTCTTTGCTATTTGATTAAATTCCTAAACAATTGTCTTGATGAAGCGTCGAAGGTCGTTGCGGCGGCGGGGAGGAGAGAAGACCAACGGAGAGAGGTGGAGAGGAGAGGAAAGGAGAGGAGAGGAAGAAGAACCGACGATCGTGCTGGTGGCGGCGACGGCGTAGAGCGGCGAGACGGGAGTAGGAATTGAGAGTGAAGAGGAGATAGGTTAATTGATTTTAGGGTTTGGGGTAGATAGGGTAGGGACTAGGGGGAGTATATATAAATTAATTTATTGTAAATAGATATGAAAATAAAAATAATGTTTTTAAATTATTAATTAAAACCAGATTTTTGCAATATGAAACTTGATTCAGGATTTATGAAAATGGTAATTTAAAAGTAGGGTTGAGTATAATTTCCTCATTTTAATTTACAGTGCATCATCCTTTTTAATAAATCGATGGGGTCACATGTCAAATCTTCCACGGTTTACATGGTTTTTCAAATGGGAAATTACAACGTAACACTATTGATGTTTACCACGAATTTAGGCGGTAATTGTTTTACTATCCCAACTAGTTAAATAAAAAAAACATAATTGATTGTCGATTGGACAATATTATTTATTTTTATTCGTCTTTATCGTCGGTTTATGTGAAAATGAGATCAATGTCACGTTCTCAATCAACTCAACACGTATTTCAAGTTGCATTGATTAACATTTAAGCAATCATTAAAAATTCTTTATAAAATGTAGAGTAGAGGGGTGTGCGACCAGAGAGAAAAGCCAGAGTTGGTCGAGGGAAAAGAACGGGTTGGTGTTGGATTGCAAGACGGGGTGGTTTCTATATTTCTTCTCCTTTTTCTTGAAATTAACATTTTAGTGATTTTATTTTTCAGAAAGTCTCGTTCATGTGAATTTTTTTAATGAAAATATACATGGAAGTCGTGTACCAATGACAAAAATGTCATGAATTTGAAAAGTCAACAATGTATTTGTCCCAAAAATAGTTGAAAATTGCTTAATTATGCACAGTCCTATCATACATTAAAAACTTGTGTGACTTATTGGGGAATTATTTAGTCACACTTACCTCTCAAATAATCCTTCTAGATAATCCCATGTCATTTTACCCATCTAACCTTAGTTGAAAACATATAACAACATTTTTTTATTACAACCAACCACATGTTACATGTTCAGTTTATTAAGTCATTGTTTGATACCAATTAAAATTCAGATTTTAATTTAAATCAAAGTCAACAATCAATTTTAAACACATATTTTATGGGTCCCACAATTTTCAACCACACATTTCATCAACTTCTATCAAAATCTACTAAAAATCTGATTTTAATTCTTTTTTTTTTTTTTTTTGACATGCAAATTAATAAATAAAAGTGTATCCTCTTCAAATCAAACTTATAAATACATTATCAAAATCAAAGTATGAAAATAGAATAAATTAAAATATGATATTTGAGGTAGACTAATTTTCTGCTATTAATACAAACGCGTCAATGTTTTTACGCGGAAAAGAAAAAAAAATGTTTAAATTGACATATGACCAAAAGTGACACAATTTGTTTTGAGGAAAATTTGACACAAACAATGAAAAAGCATATCCATAAAAATGTGTGAATGATGTCTCATGTTTCAATTTTTCAAGTCACGACACTTTTCCTTTTCGATGTGCGTGTGAAGTGAGATGGGATGAGACGAGTAGAAAATTGTGATTTGTGCATAGTAAAAGTTAGGTAATTTTCATTTCACGTTGTCTATTCTATACGTTCATATATATTTATTTTAGCATCATAGTCATATATAGCATGATAGAGTAGGTATTATTTATGAATTCGATATGCGATGTTTTTAGCGAAATCGAAGAACCATATAGTTTCATTATGTCTACGCCAAACCAATCGTACTTTCAAGCATCGAGATAGGTTTTAATCGTGAGATGAAACACATTCCCGTTCCCAACCTTATTTTAGAGGCTAGAAAATAGAATATAAAGTCGAAGACATTTCTGATGATAAATTTCAGAAAGAATAGAAGCATCGTATTAGTGGTTGTCTCGATACTTTTTTCTTTAGGGAGATAGTTAAAACTCTTATCACAGATTACATCGTAGTAACTTATCTCGAGCCTTGTTTTTTTTTCTCGTGTATATTTGTTCGTTTCAGATTATTTATTGATTTAATTTATTTATGTGATTTATCGAAAGGTGTCGATGATGTTACATTTAAAATTGAGTAAAAATTTACTATTTTCACGTGAAGATTAAATATATATATATATATCTCGTGACTGAGATTTTGAGAAATAATCATATTGCTAGGTTAAAAGTCTATCGACAAATTGAAGTGCTATCCATCATTAAGGTAAATTACCCTATAACCTATAGACGTCACACAAATTGAGGCTTGTTTTTAATTTGGTACATACATAAACTTTCACCATCAATCAATTTTTACATTTGACAATATTTACAACGTCCTTTTCACTTTCGAAAAGACAGAAAATTTTACCAAATTAATTTTAGAAAAATTGAGTTTTTTTTTTAAACTGAGAAGTAGGAATCAAACAGTGGGTTTTGCTGGTCTTTGGTGCCAAGTCACAAGAGAGACTTTTTTTTAGCAGTGTTTGACAATCATTATTCAAATTTTTTTTTTATATACTCATTTTTCAATCACATATTCACACAATAAAATATCATGCACAAACATAAAACCGTTAATTTTTAAGACATATTTTATGGGTCTCACAACTTTTTAATCACACATTTCAACAACTTCTATCGAAATCTGATTTTAATCCCTACTGATCATAGGCTAAATGATAATGTCAATTTAGATGTAAGACTTTTTGTTGATTTTATCACAGAACGTCACGTCGAATAGAGATCGTCTCTACTATTTAAAACCCAAAACCTACGGACAAGCATGAATATAGACCAAGAGTACGTGATAATAAAATTTCACCATGACTTGAGGATGCCGTTAAGGTAAATTTTACAATATTACTTAAAACATTTTATACTCATCGTATTCTAAATAAAATTTAATGTTGTTCTTAATATTGGTCGATATTATCATTTCTTCTAACCACGAGAGATTGTAAGAATAACTAATATAACTCTGGAATATGATTTTTGACAAGTAAATAATGATTATAGTAAATTATTTAAATATTTAAAAAATCATTGAAAATATTACACCACAAAGAAAGATTTCAATGACTGATAATAAAAATGTGCACATCACTCTTTTTCAGATTTGAAGAAAATGCTAGATTTTTTAAGAAAATCTTTAAACCGAGAAATCATTGTTTTGATATGGCAGTTTTTTTTGACGCATTTTCCTATTTTTATTTTCGAATATTCATAATAAACGTAAAAATATATATTATTTATAAAAGTATATGATACTGTCGTTTATAGAGTCACCTCGAGCACGAGGACTTCGAAGGGCCCATTTGTGCACCTTACTCCTCGGGTTAAATCCTCGAGATAGCTCGAGGACAGGCTTTACGGATCGGCCCCAAAAATCACATTAGCACCTGTCGGGTGGTAATGCTTGGGAGATTTACTTGGTCAATCTCAAAACACTCCGTGATCAAGCGTCACTAATCCTCATCCAGTAAGAACCCTAAACCCAATCCAACTGTTGATTGTTCACGAGTTCTAGGCCAACAAAGAGTCTTTCCTTGCATGTATTTCAAGTAGGAAAGGAAGCTCCTATACGACACTTATCCCAACACTATTTCCTGAAAACAAGGATACGAGTCTTTTTAGAATTCCACTACCTACCTTTATAAATACATCATTCTCATCCTTTATTCAGGTATACTTTTTACGTATATTTTCAGCATATGTTTTCTCTCCATTCTCTCTCTGACTTAAGCATCGAAAGAGCGACGATGACACACCTCGACGCCTTTGTTTCAGGTACCGGAAGATCACGTTCGTGCTAGTTATCGGTCGTTAAACTCAGAATTGATCAGGTGCAATTTTTTTGTAGCATCAGTATATATATTATATTTTTAGTTATTAACAAAAGGAAAAAGAAAAGTTTAGCCCATGTTTGACTCCTATTATTTTGTATTATAATTTTTGCAATAGTATTTTTTTTATTTTTTTTTTAGAGAAAATGGGTGATTAAAAAAAAAGTTTTTGATTTACGTGTAATATTATTTTATTGAAAAATAGAAAGAGAAGAAAAATATATTATAATTTTATTGGTGGCCAAATACGGATTAATTTCATCTAATCTTTAGAAAGAATACTCTATAGTCAAGTTGATTAGCTTAATGAACACGATTAATTTTACTTTATCGGGGTTCTTTACTTTCAAACAAAAGTAATCCATTCGGTCACATCACGTTCAAACCTATGCAGTGCAGTACAATGTACTAATCCAAGTGATGACTTGCGTGACCAAAATACCCTCATCAAACCACAGTAAAATGTAAAAACTAGCTTTGTTCACCAAATTTTTTAAACATATAAATATATAGATAAAATTATTATTTTCTTTTAACACTAAACAATTTTACATTGAGCTCCCTTTTACATTAGTTTTTTATACATTCGAATAAAAATTGATGAAATGTGTGATTGAAAAATTGTGAATCCCATAATATGTATAATTAAAATTAATTATTGATTTTAATTTTAATTTTAATTTTAATCATTTTTTTAACCGGACCAAACAAGGGTTGAGTGTTGTTATTCGCAAGCAATGTTTATAAATAAGCGACGATGTGATGTTAATTCATTTACCATCTTAAATGTCTTAACATCCCGCATTCAAGATGAAAAATTAATTAAAATCATTTAAATGACACTTCCCTCCTTAGCGAATATCGTTATTCTTCTACAATTAAACAAATTACGTGTCAACCTCGATAAGAAAATGGTGATTTTCGTATAGAATCATTTGCTATACAGAGCTCATTTAGTATGGCTTTTTTTTTTCCTGTAAAAGAGTTTGGCGTTGAATCATATTGAGTTAATTTTTTTTTTAAAGTTGGTCTGACGAGAAAAAGTATTTCCAATTTTTTAAAAAACAAATTTAAAAATAAGAAGAATAACTAGAAATAAAAGTAAAAAGCAGGGGTAAATTTTTTACAAAATTTCACCTAGTGGTTTGGTAAATTCGGGTGTAGTACATGGCCCATGAAACAAACGTGAGGCGGTTGCAAAAGTGCTGTCTCTCACGGAGGCCAACAAGTGAGCAACCACGTAATTTGTGAAAAAATTGAGGTTATTTTAGGAAATTCAAGCAAATTACGAGTCTTCAAAGAGAGACGTGGCGCCCTGTGGCTGCAATTTCGACCTTAACATTCTGATTACTTGACACGTACACATCGATAAGCATTAGATAGGGTACCCCACGACATATGCCATGTGGAATTTTCAGTCCTAGTCAGCAATCTATACGAAAGTCCTTTATAAAGTCCATCGCCTGCTCCTCCCCCAGCAAAAGCTCTTCTTCTTCTCTCTTTCGAACCCAGAGTGAGCTTGTTATTGCGTGTTTATTTTGTCTGGAACACCGGAAATTTTTGTTGCTAGAAATGGAGATACCGACCGTCTTCGATCGTTCCCGATCTCTGGCAAGATGACGTGATATTGCGATCGCGATGCGTTCGTTCTGTGCTTTAGCCTTATTGGTAAATCCTAAGCAAAAGCGAAGGTTTTTAATTTTAGTTTGCATAATTTAGAAGTTATCCCATACTTTATCTCACACTTACAAGCAAAAGTGATTATTATAATCATCAAGATAAATCCGCGAGATAAAGGTATCAGTTTTTGCTCAAGCCTCTCAAATTTCGGAGATCGGTTAGTTTTTACCCAAATTGTTAATTCCCGTGTTTAATCGAAAATATAAAACCATCCTTATTTTGTTTGAGCGTATGCCTATACTACGAGTGCCCAATCTTTGAGTTTGTTTTTGAAATGATCGATGTATTCAGTAGCCAATTTTCCTGAAATTGTTGAGTAAGTATTTAGGGGGAAATAGGAGGACTGGATTTTAGAATATGAAGTCTTCATCTTTGACTGAGCATTGATGCCCCAAAAAACCATGTGCTGTGGAAAATGGTTTTGGAAAACTGAAAGCTAGAGATAATTGCAAAGAATAACGTTTTCGAATTTGAAATTTCTATTCCAATGAAAATTCAACCAGTTGATTTCAACGCCCAAATTGAACCACCTATATTTGAGCCTGTGAAGCCAGTGACAAAATCGAGGTTCAAGAGGCTTTTCGAGAAGCAGTTTTCCAGCGTTCTGAGAATATCAACGCAGGAAAAGGCAGCCGGCAATGGAGGCGCCGATGAGCCTCATCACTGTATCAAATATGGTCCTGAAGAATTCGAGCCGAGCTCTGTTTGCCTAGATAAAATGGTTCAGAATTTCATCGAGGACAACAACGAGAAACCCCATAGGTGTTGCCGGAACAGATGCAATTGCTTCAATAAAAACTGCTCTGACAGCTCCGATGAGGAACTTGACTCATTCAATTGCTTTGGCGAATCAACAAATTCTCCTTCATCTGATGCACTTGAACTTGTCAAGGTAGCTATTTGAATTCTTGATTTTCTTTTTCCGTTGCAAATCATAGATTATCTGAAAAAATTCTGTCGAATGCGCAGAGTTTAGTACCTTGCGCGTGTGTTTATGAGAGAAATCTGTTAGCAGACACTGCGAAAATTGTCGAGAAAAACAAGATCAGCAAACGAAAAGACGATTTTTGTAGAAAAATTGTCAGTGACAATCTAATTGCTCTTGGATACAATGCTTCAATCTGCAAATCTCGCTGGGAAAAATCCCCCTCTTTTCCCTCAGGTAACTCTGTCTTTCCATTTACTATACAATTTGTTATGTTTCTTGCTGGGAATTATTTGATGCACATATTAAAATTTGTCCCATTTTTCAAAATTTTAACAGGGGAATATGAATATGTGGATGTGATGATTGAAGGGGATAGGTTTATAATCGACATTGATTTTCGATCAGAATTTGAAATTGCAAGATCAACCAAAGCATACAAATCACTTCTCCAAACACTGCCTAACATATTTGTAGGTAAATCCGATCGCCTCGAGAAGATCATTAACGTTGTATCTGACGCAGCCAAACAGAGTTTGAAGAAGAAGGGCATGCCATTTCCACCTTGGCGCAAGGCCGATTATGTTAAGGCCAAATGGCTCTCTCCTTACACCCGAACCACTCCGGGAGTAATTGGTGAGGAAGTGAAGGATTTCATTACTACGAAACCAAGTTCTTTTGGTGAATTTGAGTTGATTTTCGTGGAGAAGTGTTCGCTTAACAAAACTAACAACAATGGGACTAACAATGACGGTAACGACGTGTTTACTAACAGTGACGAGGGGATGACTCCACTGATGAAACCATTGGAGATTAGGCCAAGGAGTTTGCAGAAAGGAGTTAAGATGGTTACTGGTTTAGCTTCTGTAATTGAAGATGATAAACCATGAAAATTTTGTGTTTTTCAGTTTTGCTTTTAGGGTATCAGAATTGAGTGTGCCTTTTGGTTGATGACTGTTTGAGGGTACTGTATTCTGGTAGGCTAATCATTCCCTTCTCCTTTTATTGTAAGGGTGTTGAACTGTTACTACTAATATCATCAATAATAGTAAATGTTTGAGGGTACTGTATTCTGGTAGGCTAATCATTCCCTTCTCCTTTTATTGTTAGGGTGTTGATCTGTTACTACTAATATCATCTATAATAGTAATCGAGTAAAGATCAGACTTGTAGAATTTTGGTGTATCAAATTTTGCTTTTGATGTTTTGATTGTTGATAAAAATCAATGAATGCTTACTAAATTTCAGTCTGGTTATTATTTGCTTATTGAATTTTAAACTTTTTTTCTCAATGCTCACACATCTGTCGACATATTTTTCATCCACCAAGCACTAAGAATCCATCTCCGACTCTTGACGCAAAAAGGATCATGTGGTTTAGAGAAAATTTTGTTGGCTCAGACAACGTTAATTGTGTGTTCGAGCTACATTATTTTGGAAGAATGTATTTTGGAATAGTAAACTGATGGAAAATGTGTGGTTGAAAAAGAAAGAAAATTTATTAATGTGATAAAAAATGTTATTTTATTAAAAAATGCGAGGTTGAAAATGAGTAGAATAATGAAAATGAAAATTTTAATGTGACTCAAACAGGGCTCAGCTATCTCACATTTAGATAAAAAGTTCCACCCAAAATATGAAAAAAGACATTGAAAAGGAGAAACACAAATCATCAATAATAGTAATCAAGTAAAGATCAGACTTGTAGAATTTTGGTGTATCAAATTTTGCTTTTGATGTTTTGATTGTTGATAAAAATCAATGAATGTTTACTAAATTTCAGTCTGGTTATTATTTGCTTATTGAATTTTAAACTTTTTTTCTCAATGCTCATACATCTGTCGACATATTTTTCATCCACCAAGCACTAAGAATCCATCTCCGACTCTTGACGCAAAAAGATCATGTGGTTTAGAGAAAATTTTGTTGGCTCAGACAACGTTAATTGTGTGTTTGAGCTACATTATTTTGGAATAGTAAATTGATGGAGAATGTGCGGTTGAAAAAGAAAGAAAAGTTATTAATGTGATAGAAAATGTTATTTTATTAAAAAATGCGAGGTTGAAAATGAGTAGAATAATGAAAATGAAAATTTTAATGTGACTCAAACACGGGCTCAGCTATCTCACATTTAGATAAAAAGTTCCACCCAAAATATGAAACAAGACATTGAAAAGGAGAAACACAAAGCTATCTCACATTTAGATAAAAAGTTCCACACAAAATATGAAACTAGACATTGAAAAGGAGAAACTCAACCTAGTAAAATTCCAAAATAAAAACCAATTAATCCTCGATTTTTTCGCCAATAAAACCATTGTCATTGAAAATAACAGGTTCACTCGAAAGCTACCAATAATTATTAGACAACTTACCACTCACTGAAACATAGTTCAATGGGGAAGATTTCGCCAAATTTTGGTGATGCAGACTGTTGACATATACTCGATTTTATCAAGAAACAAGCTTTCGAGTCAAATTCCTTACCAACAATGCCACAACCAACATAGGATTTTGATTGGATTTACCGCGTGTAGCAATCAATGGAGAGCAAAAAGAAAGGAAACCTAAGTTGGGATTTTGCCAAGTCTTGTTTTCATTGGCCAATTTAAAGTCGTGTTTTGGATAAATGAACTAAAGTTGTGTTTCTGGGTGGTGCGTTTTCTCTGTGGCGTACGAGTTTAACGTCGTAAGGATGATAAATTTCTGCCGAGTTGGATGTTGTGTGATGAGTTATAGGGTGAAGATTAACATTATTAGATGGTAATTTTTGATTCTTTGCTTCATCTCTGGACTCTGAATTGAAACAGTTGGTTCAGTAAAGTCAGCCTTCGGAGTAAATTATTAGAGAAATAATGCTAACTTGCACCAAAAGACGCTCTGTTTCAGCTTTTTTATGTAAAAATATAAAAGTATCTTTTGGAAATTGAAACCAGAAACATTGGGATGTTCAAAATACTTGGCTTTCCGTGTTTTTTTGTCACATTATAATCATTGTGTTTATTACTTTTATGGTGAAAATTTTAAATGGATGAATATCGATGATCCTACAAGCTTAAAAACAAGAAAAAAGATGGACAGACTGACTTGACAGCACTTGTTTGAGTGCTCTTTTTTTCAAATTGTTCAATCATCTATCGACATGTTCTTCTCTTTTTTGAACATGTCTAAGTCTGTTTGTGTAGTACAATAATTTTGAGTTTTCCTGTCTGTACGAAATTTAATAAAAGCTTTTTTCGATTTAAAAATAATATTAACATCACTTAAAGATTACATATCCTATTTTTTTTTTATGGGTAATTAAAATATGTAACTTTAATTAAAATAAATAATTGAAAAAAGAAAAAGGTTAAAGCAAAGGCAGTCCATACCTTTGAGGGGACCATCTTATCTAAAGTTGGTGGAGTTATAAGGTCAATTTTTTAAATTATTTTGAAAATGAGAACTCTTAATTTAGTACCCAATTAAAAATAAATAAATAAAAAGTAGAAAGAATAAAATAAGGGTAATAGAAAGCAACGTGATGTTTACTTTAGCGACTTTAGGCCAATTCTTTCTCTCCCTTTAATTAATACTATAGCACTTTAACACGTTTTCCGATAGGTTGCTTGTAACATTTGTGATTTTGACGTACGAACCTATTCACATGGCTCAAAATAGATGTAAATACGATCCCTTTTATTTTAAATTATCTTTTTATATAGCCAACGAAAAATAGCATTAAATCAAAATGTGGCATATAAGTTGAAATTGAATGCTATAGATGTTAATTATCGTGAATAAATATAGATCGTAAATAAAATCGAAGTTGTTGAATATTTCTTTAGACTTATTGCGAGTTGGACATATGGAGGTTGGACCAATCTTGGTCTTAATCCACATTCTATATACAACTTTTGGACCACATCTCCTTGTCCACGATTTGAATTTTAGAGCGTAAGATGATATTTTTTTAATGTTTTTCGTTGCTAAGTACTAATGTATAATATGTCAAGTATTTAGACAGATCCAAGTCAAATTAAAATTCACGAAGAAACAAATAACACTCGATACATATTGTACGAAGGCCTCCTACACGATCGTACGCATTTAGTTGCGTATTAATTGCCGGAGTAAGTGGGTCCTATATGAAATTATTATTATTATTATCGTCCAATGAAAGTCGAGCTCGTGTGTATAAATTATATTGCAAAAGTAGAAAAATGATTAACAAAAATTTGTTGATGGAAAGAAAAAAAAAACATATATATATTTTGCCCTAAAAAGAGGAGGCATAGCCTCAATGACACGGCAAGTTTTAAGGAGATGCCTCAAGAATAAGGGTACCAAAAGTATCTATAATCACTTGCAAACAAGAATGGAGAATTTTTGCTTTCCTTGTTTGTCAAAAGTTGGTATGCCTTTTATGATTCTAATCTTTCAAGTGACTTCACTTGATTTTGTCACTTCTCTCATATTTTAGAAATTTATATTTGCATAATTTTAAACTGTTGCGTGAATTTTTTCCTCGCTTATTTTCAATGCGCGTGAAAGTTCACAATTTCTCTATATGTCGGTCGAGCTATTATATATTAGTTTTATACTTGATTTGAATGAAAGTGTCATGGTTTTATTTTTTTGGAATAATATTTTGTATTTCATCATACAAAATTAAAATGAAAGAAATACAATTTAATATTCATTCGATGTCGATTATTGAGAAATGTTAGCCATCCATATATCAATTACTTGCGATCGGTTTTTTTTTCTTGTACCTAAGGTCTTATTTTTGTGATTTTGCTATATTCACCAGATAAATTTAAAGAAGAAAAGTAAGTCAAGTATTCATTTGGCATGCCTCCTTTGAATATAACTTTTGTCAATAGAGCTTTTTTCAAAAAAAGCCATTACCAAAAAGTTGATTAGCGTTTGGATGTCAACAAAAAATGTGAATATTAAATTGACAGTTTGACAAAAAATTATGCTCTTGTTTGGCCCCAATTATTTTTAAAATACATTTTTCTATTTTTTATTTTTAACTACATATTTTTCAATAAAATAATATTACATGCAAATTCAAAATTTTTTCTTATTTTTAATTACACGTTCTCCATCAAAATGATATTCTAAAATGCATCTCGAATAAAAAAGGGACTCAAAGATGCTAATATTAAATTGTACTTGCTTACATAATTATTTGACAGATATTATTTATTAATTATATAAAGTCTATAAAATTAAATATTTAAATTTAAATTACCACGTCGCAAATCTTTTATTATATTAAGACATTAATATGAAAAATTAATATATGAAATACCATAATTTCTTTTCTAAAATGTAATATTGAGTATTAACAAATAACAAATAAAAATTAAGGAAAAAAATGCCATATTAACCATTCAAAAAGAATCTTTAAATTATATACAAATTGATATATATATATATATATATATATAGAGAGAGAGAGAGAGAGAGAGAGAGAGAGAGAGAGAGAGTTTTGATCTACTAAGTACCATTCAAACACCTTAGTTGGTGCTTTCAAAGTTATGTAGACTTGTGTAATAAGGATTGGTTGGTATTGTGTAATCTGGGATGCAGGTATTTAGATTGGATTATTTTGTTGATAATAATTTGTATATTCTGTTGGTTGCTGAGTTAGAGAGAACTATGATCTAGAAATATCAACTTTAAAGCTTCAAATCAAGGACCTAGGGCTACAAGTTAAAGAGTGCAAATGCTCTTGCACAATCATATGAAAGAGAAGTTAGTATGCTGGGACATGACAAAATTCATCTAGAGCAGAACTACCAATTCTAATTTAATATAATTGAGCAAGCTACAAAGCGAGGGAAAAAGAAGGGAATTTAATGATTGATGTATTCAATTTTTTTAATTTTATTTATTAGCT